ATAAAAAGCATAAAAAGTAATTAATAATTATTATATATGATGACATGGCAGGATTATGTGGCACACCGTATGCTCTTAAAAAGTTCCTCTTATATATATTGATTAAAACAAAAAAGGAATAACATTAATTGATAATAAAATTGTAAAGAAATGAAAAAACACAAAAATATATCAAATAAAACTTACTTCGTATTAAATAAAATTAATAAAAATAAAAATTATTAAAATAAAAAAATATTAAATAAAAAACTAAAAAATTAAAATTAAAAAATAAAAAATTAAAAAAAATATATGTAGGCTGCTGCCGCCTCAACAACCTCCCAACACCACCAGCTCCGACCACCGAAAAAAATGCCAACATTTTTCCGAAATGCCATCATGATGGCAATTTTTGAGAAAATTTGGCATTTTCAAAGAGCAAAACTGCCATCTTTATGGCATTTTCAAAGAAAAATGGAAGTTTTAACATAAAATGGCACTTTTTTTTCGCCGATCGGAGGTGACAGTGTTGGGTGATGGCCGAGGTTGCGGCAAAGGCCTGGATAATTTTTTTATATTTTTTAATGTGGTTTATCTATTTTTATTTATTTTTAAAGTTTTTTCTTTTTTAAAAAAAATAGTTTTTTTTTATTATTTCAATATTTTTTTTAAATATTTTAGAATTTTTTAAATATTTTATTAGGATTAAATAAGTCATATTTTAGAATTAACTAGGTTAGGGGTATTAAGGGTACAAAATTAATGTTTACTCCTATTGAAGGAAGTTTTAAGTTTCACTCCCATTTGTGCAATTATGTTTATGTTTACTCCTATATTGGGCAATTCCTCTAATCTAAATTAGTTTGACAAAAACTCCGATCCTTCTCAAGTATAAGTCCAACCATCATTTTGCTGTCAACAAAAGAAATGTTTTTGGACCTTTGGTCAATTCTATTTTCCAAATATACCCTAAAAAAGATCACTTGCATTGCAAAAATGCAAATTAAATATGGTAACAAGTTATTTAAAGCAGATTTACTAAAAAATTATTCGAGATCAACATGAAAAATAAAAAGATCCATTTGGAGGATTCGCTTGCAATTTTAAAGCTAATAACTTATGATTGGAACATTGTTTTTCCTTTTGTTTGAGCAAGAGAAATTATTAAATACCAGTATAACATTATTAATAATAAATGAAGAGAAAAAAGTTATAGCTAACCATCAGAGTACATTTTAATTTTGGCGCAACGTCTTATGTGACTAGTCAAGCCATTGGGGCAATTCACTAACCGCTGGAGATGCTCTAAGAGGTCGTTTGGTAATACATAAATCGGCTGGTTCTGCTGAAATTTATGAAATTCTGACTGAAATGGTTAGATTAGCTGATTCAGTTGATTTATGAAAAAATTATATTTAAAATATATTTTATTAATAAAATAAAGAAAAAATTATAAGAAAAACGAGCTAAAATGACCCTCTTTACTAACTTCGGCCAATATGCGAGAAAAATAACTCTAACCTTACTTTTTGTTATTATTACATAATTCAGCATGCAAAATAAAAAAATTACGTGTTTAGTGAAAAAGTTAGTCAATAAGTCGAAAAACAGGATCACCAAGACACCAACCAACCGAGCTCCAGGTGTTCCATAAATAATAAAGTACAGGCCTACATATATATAATAACAATAAATATACGTCGTCTATAAAATTCATGTAAAATTAGAGCTACGATACATTGAGTCCAAATTCTTATAGGATAACTCCTTATTGATTAAACCCCCAAGTATTTTGTAAGAGTTTTAAAATATCTCACTTACCTATAGAGTAGTCTTCCGGTCAGGTATACCTGACCGGAGCCCCGTCCGGCCTCCTCCATTTGGGGGCTTTCCCGGTGTTATTTTTTGCTCAAATTTTTTGTGTAGGTTCCTCATCAAGTCTAGTTCATCCATACCAAATTTCAGCCAAAAATTCAACCGGGAAGGTCGTCAAATGATTTTTGCAAGTTAACTGGTCCGGAAAATACATATTCCGGACCAGTTAACTTGCAAAAATCATTTGACAACCTTCCCGATTGAATTTTTGGATGAAATTTGGTATGGATGAACTAGACTTGATGAGAAACCTACACAAAAAATTTGAGCAAAAACTACCATCGGGAAGACCCCCAAATGGAGGAGGCCGGACGGGGGGAGTGGTCCGGCCTGGCCGGACCTGAATATTAGTCCTTACATATATATGTAATACATATTTTCTCTATTCTCTTTTAGTTACAACAATTCACTTTTCACGTTTGTCAATGCTCAAGTTTGTCCATTAATATCTGTCATTTCTTATTAGAAAAAAATAAAACATTCAAATTTTCAAAATTAAAAATGATAGGAATTTAATAACATTTATCAAAATTTTAATTTATAATACATTAATAAATAAGATTAAAATGTCTAGAGTAGAGTTCTCAAGTACCAAATTATTCATTGGTAAATCTTTAAGGCCTCATCAAGGCTTTAACTTCTTCCAAAACTGATCTAATGCGCCATTTAAATATACTACGTAGCATGCAAAATGTGATTAGAAGTGAGATAGACACGGTCACATAATATTACAAAAGGACTCCATAAGATAAGAGATCAAGATGATTTAATTTGATGTGATAAAAGGATGAGAAACATTGATCGAAGAACCGTCAAATTGGTATACGTCAGGGGTGTATCAAGTTGTGATTCACAAAATTTTGAATTGAAACTTTCTAATTGGACGTATGATTATGTTGAGTGGGTTCAAGTTGAATTTTAGAGACGGTTTGGCAACATTGTTTTTCGGCTTATTAGGCTTATCAGACAACTTTTTCACCAAACACGTAATTTTTGATTCTGCGCGCTTAATTGTGTAATAAGTAGAAAAAGTAAGGTTGGAGTTACTTTTCTGGCTGTATTGACTGAAGTTACTGTAGATGACCATTTTAGCTATTTTTACATATAATTTTTCTTTATTTTATTAATAAAACATATTTTAAAAATAATTTTTTCTTAAATCAGCAGCATCAGCCAATGCAGCTACTCCAGCCAGAACTTCATAAATTTCAGCAGAATCAGCCAAAATAACCAATTTTCGTGCTACCAAACGGGCTCTTAATTTGGTGAAATGTGAGGCCAAATTGAATATTTTTAGCATCGGTCATTCATTATAAAAAAATTACAAAAACTTTTATTATCATTTTTTTGCAAAAAAAACAAGTCTATACACTCTATTATACAAGTATTATCATTTTTTTGGTATAATTAAATCTTATTTTTTGTCAAAGGAGTCTAAATAATTAAACTTTGTATAACATTTCAGATTTTGTTTGAGAATGAATCTCCCCATTATATTAAAAGATCATTTTCCAAATGATCTTAACATAACTAATTAAGAGTTCAAACATAGATTAATGCGTTTAGGCTCTCTGGCTAGGCTACAATATATTCATTCCGACAAAGATAGGGAGAGACGAAATTCTTCCCTTCTACCCGATTTGAAGTTTTTATAAAACGACTTGTTATATGAGAGCACTAGAAGGCCTATTACCTAATGTTACGAATTGACTCTTGTTATATATTCAATGTTAATTATTCATTTAAATTATCTAACTACCCATTTTTGCTTGAAATATTTTTACTTTGATGTATATCAACACACAGGACGAGAACCGAATAATGCAACTGGACAAGTGTCAGTGGACCAGTACCACCGATATAAAGTAAGTTAATTAATACTCCGTACTACGTAAACAATTTCAAGTGATTGTCTTTAATTTATCATGTAGTTTTACAATTTCATTCTTTCTATTTTTGTGTACCCGAATTCGGAAACAAAATTTTAAACAATTTTTGTGTTGCAAATTAATGTCGAGCTTGCTGGATTAAATAGCCGCTAGTCCAGAAACATCAATATCGTACTCCAAACACTTTCAAAAGGCACATTCATCTCTAATACTATCATATACGATAGTACTCCAAACACTTCTATATTTTTAAGGGAAAAGGTGCAAATAAGCCCATGTACTAACCAAAAAAGGTCAAATAAGCCCTTATTTAGGAGGCTCTGTCCGGCCGTCGTCATTTGGGGTGGTTCCCGGTGGAATTTTATGATGAATTTTTTTGAGCATCTTATTCATCAAGTCTAATTTACTCATACCAAATTTCAGCTAAAACTTCAATCGGGAAGACATCCAAATGAATTCTTAAAGATAACTGCGCTTCTAACTGCGCAATTATTTTCAAGAATTCATTTGAATGCCTTCCCGATTGAATTTTTAGCTGAAATTTAGTATGAGTAAACTAGACTTGATGAATAAGATGCTCAAAAATTTTCATCAAAAAATTCCACCAGGAACCACTCCAAATGGCGATGACCGGACAGAGCCTCATAAATAAGGGCTTATTTGACCTTTTTTGGTTAGTACATGGACCTATTTGCACCTTTTTCCTATTTTTAAAACCAATAAATGTGATACTTTTATTGTCAACTAGTAATGTCTCAATCAGTCGCAGAATTTTAAGGAGGCGATATTAGGTATTTAGATGATTTTCAACACTAATCCATTTAAATATTTTATGGAGTATAAATATTGTCTGAGTTTTAGGAGACGGATTTGAAATAGTAAATGGCTAAAGTAATCCATGACCGAGACATATTGCCATAGTGGGGTTAAGTGTTAGGATGTTTTTAATTGGATTGTAATTTGTTGGTCTAATCTTGGTCTGAACTGGTCTGGTCTGATAATGTCTGATTTCTTTGTATTTTTATAATTATCCAAGTCTGGTCTGGTCTGGTTTGACTTGGTTTGATCTGGTCTACGATAGATATCAGTCCAAGTAAAAACATCTTAACCCACGACTCTATATGTTTCAATTGTTATTTTTGGTGTACACAAAAAGCAGTTAGTGGTTTTTTCTAGGAAATTTTTTAGGCACACCCTGGGTTACACCCTGGACTACACCATATATAACCCCCCTCGCCCCCCATTTTTAATTTCTTCCCTTCCCACTTTTTTCTCTCCCTTCTCTCTCCACTCTCTTCTCTCCCCTTCTCTCCATTTTGCACCATACGACCCCCCCCCCCCTCTTTTTTTTCTTCTTCTTCATATTGTTCTTTCTTTCTTCCTTTCCCCTTCATCATCATCTTCTTCTTTTTCTTTCCTTCTCCCTTTTTCTTTCTTTTAACGTTTTATTAGCTAAGTTTAGAAACAATTCCTTTGAATCATTGTTGTTCATCATCTTCATCATCTTCTTTTTCTTTCCTTCTCTCTTTTTACGTTTTATGCACACCGACATTGGTTTGCTTTCACTGTTGGTGTACACCGAAGAAAATTGTATATGTACAGACACTTTTGTTTCTACACAGACAACTAATGTCTGTGCACACCGACGAAAATTGTATATGTACACACTTTTTTTCTACACAACTAATGTCTGTGCACACCGACGAAAATTGTATATGTACATACACTATTTTTCTACACAGACAACTAATGTCTGTGTACACCGACACTGGTTTCCCAACCCCCTCAACTTGCAAACCAATTTTGTTCACACCGACACTTTTTTGTCTACACAGACAACTAGTGTCTGTGCACATCGACATTGATTTTCATGCAACCAGCCTGGCAAATCTAGCAGATCTGCAAACTCACACCGACAGTTTAATCAAAAGTGTCTGTATTTTTACGTTTTTTGTCTGTGTGAATGGCAAATAAATGGGGTGTAACCCAGGGTGTACCACAACTATGGAGTATGTAGACAAAAAATGTACAATTTTTGTGTATAACTAGTTTTTTCTATGTTTTAGTGCTATTTTGAGTTAAGATTTAAGAGATGATGATTATTCTTTGTGGTGTTGAAGTTTTTATTGTTATGAGCGCAGGAAGATATTGACCTCATGGTGAAACTCAACTTTGATGATTACCGATTTTCAATTTCATGGCCCAGGATATTCCCTAGTAATTTCATCTCCATTAACTTCGTTTTTTCTTAATTAATTAATTAATTAATTATCAGTTATTATCACTTATCACCGCTGTATATTACCGATTTTCTATTTTAGGAATTAACTAAAAAGACTTTTATGTGCCACTCCTGATTCACTACAGATGGAACTGGCAAGGTAAACAGGAAAGGGGTTGCGTACTATAATAACTTGATCAATTACCTGATCAAAAGAGGTGCTTTATCTTGACCTTTTATTTATTTATTATTTTTGTGGATTTTCCTATAAATATATAATTAAAATCCTAAGTCACTCCAAAAACTTCACTATAGTCACTGCAATGTAAAATTATACTCGTATATCAACATTGCCACCACAGCCCGTTACAAAACTATAGTTAAGGTCATTATATACTGAGAATCATGTTATTGTCAATTATTTTTATTTGTCATACAATTATCATTATTGCCTTTTAAAATGGTATACAAAAAAGCTAGTAAATTTGAATTGACTCTAGTTTGAATGTCTGGCAGGCATCACACCATATGCTAATCTCAATCACTATGATCTCCCCCAAGCACTCCAAGACAGATACAATGGCTGGCTGCACCGCCAAGTCGTGTAAGATCATTTCATATACTCTGTACGTAGTACTCCCTCCATCTCATAAAACTTGGCCAATATTGATTTGCACGTAGATTAATAAAGTAAAGATTGTGTGGTTGATATTTGTGCAGAGGAGAGAGAAATAACTTTAGCCACATATTTGTTACTTTAAATGGAAATGATAGTTTTTTGGGACGACCAGAAAAGGAAAGTTGGCCAAGTTTTATCTGACGGAGTTGGTATATGTTTTGGTACGGAATTTTTGAATCTGATGTTATACTTATTATTTTTGTTGTTACAGAGAAGACTTTGCAGATTATGCAGAGTTCTGTTTTAAGACATTTGGAGATAGGGTGAAGAACTGGTTTTCATTCAATGAGCCCAGAGTGGTGGCTGCCCTCGGGTATGACAATGGGTTCTTTGCACCAGGGAGATGCTCTCAGCCTTTTGGAAACTGTACAGAAGGAAACTCAGCAACTGAGCCTTACATTGTCACCCACAATCTTCTTTTGTCCCATGCTGCTGCTGCTCAAAGATATCATACTAAATATCAAGTGAGACAACTAATATTATTTTTTTCTTTTGGTTAGTGTTTCTCATACAACAACAACAACATCCAAGCATTGGTCCCAAAAAAGTTTGAGATTGGCTAACATGAATCGACATATCAAATCAAAGTTAAAAAAGAGAAATAATTACATAAATATGATCAAAATAAAGATGATTTACAAAAATATGACTAGTGACTAGAGTAGTAATGAAATCATAGTAATTCATGTTCAAGTTTTGAGCTTAAGTTACCACAACACCACATTGTAGTAATGAATAGTCATATTTATGTAAATATATTTTATTTTAGTAATATTATTGTAAAAAACCCTTTTAGAAATAATTACATAAATATGATCAAAATAAAGATGATTTACAAAAATATGACTAGTGACTAGAGTAGTAATGAAATCATAGTAATTCATGTTCAAGTTTTGAGCTTAAGTTACCACAACACCACATTGTAGTAATGAATAGTCATATTTATGTAAATATATTTTATTTTAGTAATATTATTGTAAAAAACCCATCTTTTTACCGTTTTATCTCATCTTTTTAATCCTTTTCATCTTATCATTTTATCTTTATATTCTATTTCTCTTTATCCTTTCTTTATCTTTATCTTCTCTTTAACTCATCTTTTTTACTCTCTCCGCCTTAGCTTAAGGTTCTCACTTCCCTCTTTTGGACATCCCAGCTAAAGGTTCTCATTTCTATTTTAGTAAATAATTAACACTCTTAAATGACAATTTAATCATCAAATCTTAAAAATATTTTATCTATACCATCACAATTATCATCAATGACCCCATTATACTATATACCCATCAAAACTATTTCTAACAATATACATGAATTACCTTATTTAATTATTGTCTAAATAATCGTGTCATTTTGCATTGAAACCTTAACCTGGGACGGAAGTAGTATCTTTTTATCATTTTTTTCTTATCTTATGTTTTTATCTTTTCTTATCTTTTTTAGGGTTTTTTACAATAATATTACTAAAATAAAATATATTTACATAAATATGACTATTCATTACTACAATGTGGTGTTGTGGTAACTTAAGCTCAAAACTTGAACATGAATTACTATGATAAAAAACATAAGATAAAGAACATAAGATGAATAAAAAGATAAAAAAAATTGAAGTTACATCCCAAAAAGTTAGTCTAATGAGACAAGTACTTTAAGAACTTATGTATCTTGAACAGTAAGCTTATATGTTTATATTTCGCCGGTATAAAATAAGTTAATATGCGTATATTTGGAGGATGATAGGGACACATCTACACCGAATAAAGAAGACAGATATTTTGGGAAGGTTTATTCTAGAAGGAGTTAGACTAGTAGTTATTAGTTAAAAATCTGTTAGTAGCTAATAACTGAAATCGGTTCGGGGGGATTACTATAAATAGAACTAGTCTGGAAGGGGAAGGTAGGCTGTTTTGTCTGTAAAGTTGGGACTGGGAGATCAGAGTCTTATCTCTATCTTTGGGGGCTTCAGCCATAGTTGATGGATTCATATTCAATAAAGTTGCAGAAGTTTTTCTTGATATTCTTTTCTGAAATTTCTGAATAGTTGTTGAGTTCTATCAGAGGGGGGGATCCAAATAGGCGTGGATTAGGAGTAAGGAGTGATATGCTACTTCTTGGTTTGGAGGAGCGTATGATTTGTAGAGAGCGAAGTGGATGCATCATATTCGGGTGGAGGATTGATCTCATTTCACCTTTCCTATTTTTTATCTTTTATGTCTTCCTTGTGTTCTTTATATTTTAATCTTTTTATCTTTACCTTTCTTTATCTATTTTACCTTTCTTTTTATCTTATATTATGTTTTATCTTCTTTTTATATCTTTTTTATCTTTTTAGCTCCACTTTCATATGTTGATTAATGTTAGCTAACCCCAAAACTTTTTGGGACCAAGGTTTGGATGTTGTTGTTGTTATATACTTCACACAACCTTCACTAATGTATACTATTAATCGTGATTCCTCTTATTCAGCTACTTTCAATATCATTTCTTCCACATGTAGCTACAAAGGACTAATGATCAACGACAATAACTTATAATTATGACATGAATTACTTGACTTTTAAAAACTGATACCTTAGTTGAATTTGAGAGTTATACAAAATTTAATTAGAAAAAAATGATGTGAGGGATAAACAGTGAGAGTAACCAAAACTCAATGCATGTGAAAGTATATTAGAATATACTTTAGAATATTTTAGGAATATACCATATATAGTATTATTGTATAGCATCTTTTATAGGAATATTCTATCTTTGTAATCTATATTTAAAGGGCCTTACCCTTCAATGAAATACACAGAAAATCATTCTCTCCATCTTAAATATTATTCTAGTTTATATTTCAACATGGTATCAGAGCCTTCCATTTCACTTCCATTTCAATTTAGTTTTTCAGATTTCAAATTAGTTTTTCACACTCAGTTCTTTCTCAAAGAACTTGAGTTCAGTTCAAAACCTCTTTACACAATCATCACCATTACCCAGAATCTCTATTCTCTATTCAGAAGCTTAGTTCAATCTCAGAACCTCCTATTCTTCCCAGAACCTCTTCCCAGAAGCTTTTGCCAGAACCTCCTATTCGTTTGCAGTTTTTTCACGAGCTAATTTCAGTCCAGAACCTCCTAACCTTCTCAGGCTAATTTCAGTCCAGAACCTTCAGAACCTCCTACCCTTCCCAGAACCTCTTCCAAAACCTGAGTTAACTCCAAAACCTTACACACCCTTTTGTCTACAGAACCTCCAACCAGATTCTTAATCCAGAAAATCAATTAGCTGCCACTTTCCAGAAAATCAATTAGCTGCTAATTCTAAAGAAACTCTACACTCCAGAATCTCCGGAACCTTTTTTTTTCCAGAACCTTAGTCCATCTCTGTCAGGTCCGGCCATCTTCCCTGGCTGGAATTTTGATTGGAAGAATTAGCTTAAAGGGAAGGAAGAACATATAGTTTTTTCAGAACCGGTGCATTCTTTCCAGCAAACGAGCATGAAAGGCAATATAGAATCTCGCCCTCTGCTCTTTCACCAGATCGCCCAGCATCTTCCCAAAACCTGAAACAAGTTGTTGCCGCCGCCGCACCTCTCATATTTCTCGTCTAAAAGTCGCCTGAGAGTCCTCTACCACCAGGTGAACTTTACTTCTTTCTCGTTCTTTTTGAGAGAGCTGAGGAGGACCGGTGGACGGTGGTCGTCGCTCGCTGGGGGTCTGGCATCGAAGTGTCCAGGGACAGACGCACAGTCTGATTGTTGGTCGCTCGCTGGATCTCGCGTGTCTTTAGACTTCCGCTGGGTCTCGAAGGTCTACTCTGGTTGTTCGCTTATCGTGGGCACATGCTGGGGTCTTAGCATCAGACGGACACATCTCTAGCTTGAAATTAAGTCTGCGGTCTGTAGCAATCAAGGCCCAATCTGGATATTTTATTCTCTAATATTTAAAGTCAACAAACGGAAACCTGCTATTTGACAGAGGAGTAATATGCAATTATTGCAAAAACCCGGACACTTGATCAAAGAGTGTAGAAAATTGCTGTTCAAAAATCAAGAAAATCGGCTTGTTCATATTGCTTCCGCTACCAGCTCATTTGTCTCATTTGATGGATGCCAAATTTATGTGCTACCAAGAATCTCTAAAGCACTAAATAGAATTCGAGTGGGTTATTTATGTAACAAGTTGGGCATGATAAATATCTATGCTCCAACTTGAGGGGGAGTGTGAAAGTATATTAGAATATACTTTAGAATATTTTAGGAATATACCATATATAGTATTATTGTATAGCATCTTTTATAGGAATATTCTATCTTTGTAATCTATATTTAAAGGGCCTTACCCTTCAATGAAATACACAGAAAATCATTCTCTCCATCTTAAATATTATTCTAGTTTATATTTCAACAATGCACAACTAATTGTCTTCTGAAAATGCAAAGCTGAGCTAGTAATTATGACCTAACTTCACGAGGACTGTTATTGTTGCCAATAATAAAAGTTTTTGTGTGATATACACACTATTTTCAATAGTTTAAATCTTCTAATTTCAAATACCTGGTGTTAATAGACGGTCAAAATGTTAGCTCCTAGAGCTTAACAATCTTGATATTTATGTAACCAATCTAATCAGATTTGAATTGACTGTAAGAGCTTAACATGCTCTAATATCATATTATGAAAAGTGAATCTTAAGGGAAGTAGTCTTATGGGATGATTAAGTAAAATCTGAAATGAAATTGCAGGCTAAGCAGAAGGGAAGATTTGGGATTCTCCTAGACTTTGTGTGGTATGAACCTCTGACAAACTCAACAGCAGACAATGATGCAGCTCAAAGGGCTAGGGACTTTCATTTGGGCTGGTTTTTACATCCTATTGTGTATGGCGAGTACCCGAAAACTATGCAAACTATTTTAGGGAAAAGGCTGCCTACATTCACACCAGACGAAGTTAAGATGGTGAAGGGATCAATTGATTATGTTGGCATAAACCAATACACGACATACTATATGTCTGACCCCCATAGTAACAAACCACCTGTCCCTGGATACCAAAATGACTGGAATGTCAAGTTTTCCTGTAAGATTATTGCCCTTTCCTTCTCTGGTTTTTTTGTCACATTTTATTTTGCACTTATACATCTGTTGTAGTTGCACAGTCAACTCACTAATTTTGGATATTTCTTTTGTAGTTGAAAAAAATGGAGTGCCAGTTGGTCCAACGGTATGTCGAACAAAGTTTTCATTTCATATACTAAAATTAGTAGGTCTGAATAAAAAACTAACAAATTAACTGAACTGATCAAAATCCAACCGACCAAATCATGGACGGTTCAGTTGGAGATATACTTTAGAGAACCAGCCAAAACAGGATAAAAGTCTAAAACCAACAGAAACAGAGACACATCAACCAAAAAGTAACAAAACTGGAACCAACTTAGGTTACATGGTTTGGTTCTCAGTTTTGCACTTTTTGAAACCGAATTGACCATAAACCAACTGACAAAACCAACCCCTCTAAAAATTAGCATCATATTCTTTCTTTTACTGACGCTGTCCTGGTTGAGTTGTGTTAGGCACATTCAAATTGGCTCTATATTGTGCCCTGGGGAATGTACAAAGCTGTGACCTATGTGAAGGAGCACTATGGAAATCCTACGATGATTTTATCAGAAAATGGTATTCTTTTTTTTTTTTAATGAAAAAGAAAAAGCATGAAAATCCATTATGGTCTTGCAGACTAGCTTGAAGTTCCAACATTAGTTTGATTTTTGCAGGGATGGATTATGCAGCCAATATTAGCTTTGCAGAATCTTACCATGACACAAAAAGGATAGACTATTACCGGAGCTACCTGATTCAACTGAAGAAGGCAATAGATAAAGGAGCAAATGTGATAGGCTACCATGCATGGTCATTGGTTGACAACTTCGAATGGAGGCTGGGTTACACTTCAAGATTTGGGATTGTGTATGTTGATTTCAAGACCCTCAAGAGGTCTCCCAAGGAGTCAGCCTACTGGTTCCAACATTTGCTTCATCGGGACCAGAACTAAGTATGCAGATGATGATGTCCACCCTGGCTCATAGTCAGTTACATTGTCTACATTTCTTATTTAGAAACACTTCACCAGCAGCCTTGTGGGACCAGGCGCCCAGCCTGCTGGTTAAATAATAATAATTGTTCTTTTGCTCTTATTGCTAATGTTCACTGCAATTAAAAAGAATAAGAAACCACGGATTGCTTAACAAAGAAGTAATAAAAAATTATTAATGAGAAATAGTGAAAAATTTATCACTAAAATAAACTATTTGACCAAAATGTGATTTAGTGTGTAGTAACTGTGATCATATTTTCCCACCAACCTTAAGTACCATAGTGATGCTCTATTTTACTATGCAATAACATGATAGCATAGTGATTGTTGTGGCCATAGTCTGTTAGGGAATGGGCCTATTAGAGTATTAATAAGAATAAGGGACCGGGCCTATTAGAGTATTAATAATAATAAAGTGTATAAGTTTAGTATAAATAGAAGATAGAAGGGAGGAGTTTAGCAGGCTGTTTTAGACTTGGACTCTGGGATTTGGGAAGATCGAGAACTCTCTCTTTCTTTGGGGGGCTTCGGCTCAAGTTGGGGGCTTCGGCCAGTGTTACTGTGTTTCTCTTGTAATCGATCATCTCTCATCAATAAAGTTTCCAGTTGATTTCTTATTAATCTTCTGCAAATTGTTCTGGAATTTTTGAGGTTTCTATCAATTGGTATCAGAGCACGTTGATCGCTGGATGACCTTGACGCGCGCTAAAATGGAAGGACGATTGAACGAGCTGGAAAGAAATCAACAGGAATCAGCTGCAACTAATGCGGCTATGGCGACGGATATAGCAGAAATACGTGCAGCGATCGCGACTTTGGCGGAGAGAAGCCAAAATCGATCGCGAACTATGTCGCACACCTCATCTCGATCGCATCACTCATTCACTCCAATTCCTCGCATCGCACCTTTCAACACAGACATGCGAGGAACAGTGACAGTTCAGAAGGATCGGATCATCAATCTACTTCTCATCGTAGTAACGATCATCACAGGTATCGTCGGAATCATCATCCTATTGGTAGGAAAATTGATTTACCACTTTTCAATGGACAAGACGCTTTCGGTTGGCTGGTAAGGATGAATCGCTATTTCCGCTTGAACCAAACTGAAAAAGAACAGAAAATTGATATTGCGGTAGTGGCTATGGAGGACCAAGCACTGAGTTGGTTCCAATGGTGGGAGGGCCAAGCGCAACATCAGACATGGACTCAGTTTACCAAAGACCTAACTAATCGATTTCAGCCTGAATTAGAGCAGGATCCTCTGGGACAGTTGTTCAATCTGAAACAAAAGGGAACAGTTGCAGATTACAGGGATAAGTTTGAGGTAGCCATAGCTTCACAAGGACATTTAACGGAAGAGGTTTTGAGAGGAGTATTTCTGAATGGCCTGAAGCGTGATGTTAGAGCTGAGTTGAAGTTGTATTCTGCCAGAACCTTGGCTGCAGTTATGGATACAGCTACCCTCATTGAGAACAAGAACACTGAAGTTTTGTTTATGAAAAATAGAGAGGAAGGAAAGAAGAGAGGACAGAGCAAGCACGCTGTTCAGAATTCAGGTCAAAATGGGAATGAAGAAAGCAGATGGAAGAGTTATCCTGACCAGCCTGTTAATGTGGGAAAGGTGACAATTGACAACAAAAGCAAGCCGGGGGTGATGAATCCCAACTTGAAGAGAAATAGCCCTAGGTTATCACAAGAAGAGCTGCTTGAAAGAAGTAAGAAAGGACTATGTTTCAAATGCGGAGAGAATTGGGGAAGGAAACATGTGTGCAGGATGAAAAATTATAAGATAATATTAATGGAACAATCTGAAGGTGAAGCTGAAACTGAAGCAGAATCAGGGGACTCAAAAGATGAAAAGACCTCACCAATGAATCTGAAAACCATGCAGCTCTCGGTCCTTAGTAAAGATGGCATATCTTCTGTGGAAACCTTTAGGGTGAAAGGAAAAATGAAGTGGTCAGGAGGTGAAAAAATTGTGGATATCCTCATTGATAGTGGGGCCACACACAACTTTATATCACACAAATTGGTGGAGAAATGGAAACTACCTTACAGTCATATTCAGGGACATGAAGTGCAGATAGGGAATGGAGAATGTATTCTAATCTGTGGCAGGTGTGAAGGTGTAGATTTGAATGTGCAAGGAATTGGTATTCATCAAACATATTACCTATTGGAGCTGGGGGGAACTGATTTAGTCTTGGGAATGGACTGGCTAACAAGCTTGGGAGACACGGAGATTAACTTCCAAAATCAGACCTTCAAATGGGAAGTACAAGGGCAGAAGGTGATTTTACAAGGAGATATCTCATCAAGTCAACAGGGTATTGAAGGAGAAAGAGCTCAAAAGCATGAAGTTGCTGTCCCCTATGCTGTAGCAGGCTGCACCTTGGTCTCCACAGAATCTGCACATCTTAAAGCTTTGGATAAAATGTTCTGGCCTCTGTGGAGCTATGCTGTGAAGTACATAGAGCGGAAGATGGAAGTAGTAAAGCAAAAGGCCCTGCAGATAAATAAGTATTGGAGAGGAAGGGGTGCTAAGATGAAGGAAAAGAAGAAGATTGTGGCTGTGTCCTATCACCCACCTTGAGGGCAAGGTGGATGTTTAGGGGGGGAGTATGTTAGGGAACGGGCCTATTAGAGTATTAATAAGAATAAGGGACCAGGCCTATTAGAGTATTAATAATAATAGTGTATAAGTTTAGTATAAATAGAAGATAGAAGGGAGGAGTTTAGCAGGCTGTTTTAGACTTGGACTCTGGGATTTGGGAAGATCGAGAACTCTCTCTTTCTTTGGGGGGCTTCGGCTCAAGTTGGGGGCTTCGGCCAGTGTTACTGTGTTTCTCTTGTAATTGATCATCTCTCATCAATAAAGTTTCCAGTTGATTTCTTATTAATCTTCTGCAAATTGTTCTGGAATTTTTGAGGTTTCTATCATAGTCATATTTTTGTCCGTGAATTAATTGAGTAGTATTATAGAAACCCCACTAATAACAATCTCAAGATAGTAGAAACAAAATGCTTTAAATAAGCATTAAAAGTTGATAAGAGACTACTTCCAAAGCAATGAAGTTATTGATGAAAAAATAATTCTTAATGTACAGCACAGAATATTACACTCTAGAGAAGAAATTCAGTATACTGCTTTTTTGTGATAGTGAACTTTGAGAATTATTACTTCTCTTAGCCTTCTTCCCAATACTTCCTCTACTCTTTTCTTCTGATCTTTTTACAACTTTAGAATTCACACTTTTCTGAGAATCTGAAGTGGTAAGGACTTCAAAGCTTTCAGCCTCAGTTACCACTGAGACTTGTCCAGTAAAACTCTCTTTCTCATCCGCTTCAACTTCTGCAAAACATCCTTTTCGAAATGGATTGTTATCTGATACTTCTTTATCTTCTTTTGCATTAGCCTCTTTCTCCTCATCCACCACTCCACTTGAAGGATTGAGTAACTCTTCAAGAGCTATAGCTTCAGGGAAATGCTTCTTCTGCTTAACAAAAGAGACTTGGTTCCGTTCAGAAACATGCTCCTGTTCTTCAACCAAGACTTGTCCAGTAAAACTCACTGCCTCATTTGCTTCAACTTCTGCAAAACATCTTTTTCTAAATGGATTGTTGTCTGGTACTTTTAGTACTTCTTTTGCATTAACCTCTTTATCATCTTTCACCTCTCCAACACTTGAAGCATTGAGTAACTTTTCAAAAGCTATTGCATCAGCTAAATGCTTCTTCTCTTCAACAAAAGAGACTTGGTTCCATTCAGAAACTTGTTCCTGTTCTTTAACTATCCGTTCCACACACACACAAAAACCATCATGTCAATTTATTTTCACTATAGAAAGCGACAGAGAAGTGTTCCACTATTAACTAATTTAATAGAGCAGAGTCAGTACTTACAATTTGCTTCTTTTGTGAGTTTGCGAGAGGAAATGGAAATGAAACTTTCCTTCCTGGAACCGGTATTAGCTTCTCTCTGTGAGGAATGTTGAAAACAAGCTTTGGTGGCATTTTTGGGATTTAAATTCCTTTCGGCACTGGATAGGTGATCAAATGCTTCCATTGTACAAGGATTTAACTTGCCTTGTGCAATAGAAGTTGCTATGGAATGAGGTATTTCACTAGCGACAATCAAGGATAAACTTTCAGAAAAAGAAGCTAAAATAAAAATAAAACGAACTGGCCCCTGCTCTGCATTTTGTATTATTGTAATGAGAAACGAGGTAGAACAGTTACCAAAACTTAGTTTGATATGGAAAGGAAAAGTATGTGATAAAAGGTAACCAATTTAAGGATACGGCCCCAAAAAGTCAAGCTCTTCTTGTAGAGATTGCATAAGTGATTCTGGAATAGGCTCCATATGCCTTGTCTTCTTGGAAGCAATGTCATATCTGCAAGACAGATAAGAAACAACTGAATCCAACGGAACAATGGAATAAGTACAATGGAACAGAACATCCTAATTTGGACACATACATCCTGGCATGCTCAAAAACAGAAACTGCTTCTTTGAATGATTTTGAGTAATCCTCAGGCACTTGGCTGCCCTTTTCAAACTTTAATATGGAGAGGACCTGCAAATCTCTCATTCAGAAATGGATTTTTAGTAAATAAGCTACATGGTGTATAAGAGCAACATGACTACATGTAATAGATTTTTTTTATAAATGATAGATTTAGTTAAAGCAACAAAAAATAAAAATAAGTAGGATTTATATTTTATAACATTTGTAACTCACCGAAATGAAAAGTTGTATCTTGGTAAAAATAACTCTTTTGAGGTACATGGTAGAATTAGAATGAGCAAAGGTTATTTTTATGGAGGAATAGAGTATATTCTTACACGGTCTAAGTTTCGGTACTTGGAGACAAAATTATAAGCTTTTGTAATTCCTATCCCAGGAACAGATGGAAGAAAGTCACAGCCAGCCAGAACACACATGCCTGCCAAACATCAACAGTGTAAGTATATAAGGAGGTTAGATGTTCAAAATATAAAAAAGGTTACCTATCTAGTTGAATATAGAAAGTGCACAGTTCACCTATGAACAGATCTTTGGTGAAATTTGTGAAAGAAGGCTTCCTATCAACAGACTTGAAAACTTTGTCTAGCAAAAACTCTTCACCATTGCCATAACGATCCATCTTTAGAACAACCTGCACCCAAGCAAATAAAATTAGAAATACGTTTAATGTAACAGAAAGGAGCTGATGGCCATTAAGAAAGCAGTAACCTCCATCAATCCAATGAATGCATATCAGGATATTTCTAGAAGTTCTTACAGCAGGGCAACCATATGCAAGTAAGTCACTATCCTCTGTTATGACAGCAGCAATTCCTCCTTTTTCAGGTTTAAGGCTAGCCATATATGCTAACTGTGCATCAGCCTCGTAGGGAGCCACCACAAATTCAATGTTGTCTGATCTAAGGATCTGTACATGTAAGAGCAGGTGATGTCAAACCTGTACAATCTTAGTGGTGTCTAAGTGTTGAGATGATGATGACTGGCTCAAAATTGGGTTGATCAAGTACCTGAATTAATTGATGTGCCATTGCTGGGGTGATGCTCACTGCCCTCTGGATATGAAATTTCAGGGGTCAAGATAAATAATTGAATACAAGGCCCTAAACTATATTATTCCTGTATAATATTGGGTTTCTTTGCAGAAAAATAGAAAACAAAAACTTAGTTCCATACTTCCAAGGCATGCATTTGTTGTACGTAGGGACCGTTTGGTTCATGCATTTTACTGAAATTAAAATGAGAAGGCTAGCTTGTGAATTGTGATTAACTTGTAAGGTTCAAGTTTTCATATTACTGGGGTAATCTAGGACTACTTCCATATAGGGTAATATTGGTGGTAATTGACATGTATTCTAAGATTACTTCAATACTATTTTACACTGTTCCGTCTTTGTCCCTAACAATTTAAAAAAATAAGCAAATATTACATTTCATGAACCACACAAAAGGTAATCTTATATTCGTGTAATCTCACATTACATTCTAAGAGGTAACTATTTCGCAAGTCCTAATAAGATTTTAAATTCTGTAAGTCAAGCATTCTCTTAGGGTCTGATTATTAGAAGGTGAAGGCTTTAGTGTATATAGCTTATATCTTGATAACTAGAAATATTCCTATCTAGAAGCACTAGTCATTAGCCAAGAAGCAATTCTTAGTTGAATAAGCACATGTGACATGTCCTACTATTAGTTAGAGAACCTTTGAGATTCCATAATTCTAGTCAAAAAGAAAAGTTACTGAAATTGGTTTTCAGTTTTCAACATAGGGGATTGGGCATCGCATAAGTGCATAACACTACCTGGAAGAGCTCAGCTGCAGCATTAACATTGCCTTCCTTAAGCAATGTCATTGCCTGATCACGATTGGCTTTCCTTTTCCTAATGAAACCCGATGCAAATTAACCTTGACAGCTAAAAAGCTTGGTACATGAAAGTAAAAAATAGGTGTTTAAAATGCAGTCAACGCTCAACAAGAGCTGCAGATTACATGCCTGTGTCTCTCATCCTCGGTGGAAGCCTTACATGGAAGATTTCCACCATCAAAAACAACTACGGGAATGATCTTATAGTGTCGAAGCAAATTGATTCGATGCATGAAGTAATTTAAGTACTGCAACTTCTTGTCGCCTTCCATATTCAGACAGAGCTCCATACTACATGAATAGGCTACATTTCCAAGTCAATCCTCATGAACTCTTTCCCAGAACTCAAAAATGAAAGGCGTAAATACCAATTCGAAAGACTGTTAAAAGAGATAAGCCACTTACCCCCCTTGTGCAGCCATGAATATGCATCAATCCCAACCTATAAACCGCGAAAATGAATTGTTCATTTATTTAACAAATAATATAAGATATGCACTGAGTGGGAAAGGAGTAATCAGAAGCAAAAATCTATGAAAGCAAATTGCAAAAATGTGACGGGATAAGATGAATTACTCTTTTTCCTGCGTATTTTTTTATGTGGACAAGCTCGAGGTGCGGTTTCATGAATCTGAGGAGATCTTTGATGCCCATTGCAGATTCCGTCGAGGACAATACTTGGGTTCTTCACCCTCTTTTCTTCTTTCTATTAGATTTTACTGGATCTGTCGGTAAATGCAGGAAGAATAGGAGTATATGTTCGAGTCGGACGCGGTCGGAGCCTTCAAGTCACTTCAAGTCATTGAGGTATTATGCCGCGAACTTTTTGAAATTTCACGCTATTTCGCGCGTCATAGCTTGTGCTTGTCAAGCAGCTATGTTTAAAAAAAACCACTCGACCCGGCCGGGTCGATCCGAACCAAGTTCAGTTAATTAAAAACGCGGAAATGGTAAAAAATTGGAAAAATCTGACCGACTTGGAAAAACCCAGTTTTGGTTTATCTTGAAAACAACCAAAATCGGTGTTGCATATTTTTTTCTTTTTAGGTTATTGAAAATTGCAATTTCATTGGTTAAAATGCTTTCGATTTTCTTGGTCCGGGTTTGGACAGGGTTTTACGTGGAAAAACCCGGTTTGGATCCGTCCATATTAATTTTTTTAAAGTAAAGTATTTTTAACCCATGAAATTGCAATTTTCAATACCCTAAAAGAAAAAAATATGCAATATATTGTTGTACTATGTACTACTTATTTGTTTAAGAATAAAAATCATGGCAAATTATATAATAAATGTCCAATCAAAATAACAAATATGGAGTATCATTATATATTTTAATAAGATCAAAATGGTATTCTGGAATATTATGAGACTATTTTAACTTTTAAGTGTTAAGTAATTACGGAGTATTGTTATTAGTAGTAGTATATTATATAAAATAACTACCTTTCATTTTAATTTTGTATACAATTATATATGTTTATTATTGTTAAATGGTTAAACGGTTTTATAGTGTTAACCGCGTTGACCCGCCCGGGTCCGGATTGACCCATGATCCGGTCACGCGGTCGGGTCACTTCTTCGTCTGGTTTCTTAAACATAGTCAAGCAGGACCGCTCTTTAAAACAAACGATAATTTACTATTAGTCCTAACACACTTAAAGTGTGATAAAGGATTAAATGTGGATCATTTTTTATTGGCTAAAAAATTTACCTCCCTTTTGCTAATTTTTTTAAAGTATGATAAAGGAATAAATGTGGAACATTTTGATTGGCTAAAAAATTTATCTCCCTTTTGCTATATTATTAAACAAAAAGGGCGATCTTTTTGTTTCATTAATCACAAAGTTTGGCGTATCGGACTCTTCCGGGGATCAATATCAACATATTTGTTGACCATCGACGAACCGATCGAATTAACAAACTAAAATTCGCTTTAGTCATAATGTATTGAACATATACGTAGACTTAAACCAAAGTGTTAGTAATTTTCATTAACTAAGAATCTTATTAAACGAAATTACTCTCTTAGCATTAAATTGGTATACTCTTTAAATGGTTTAATCTATTAGAATCTAATTTGGCTTCGCCTTTTTTAATCTGAAAAATCCGGTTTTGATACTGGTTTTGTGTGTGTTGTGTGTGTTGTGTGTGTTATAGGGGGCAGAACATGTGCAAACTGTACTTAATGTGCGAACGTTTGTACGATGCATCTTTACGTTATTTGCATATTATTTAGTCATAAAATAGCAGTTGCATATTAACTTTCAAAGAGGCGCATCCTAAAAAAGTTGACTTTTATTACAATAATGTCATTGTTCCTTTATAGCCTTTAGATCAACTCATCAGATGACCAAGATGGATTTGTAGTTTGTAAATTAGGAGGTGTTTCATGTTTGTATTTGTCTAGGTGCAAACTGTTATCAAAATCATAAACAAAATGCAGGTTATCAATTCTGTGCACAATTCTGAGTGTACTTGGGTGTCCTCTTTACCTAAAATTGGTGATGTCGCAGTTAAATTTTTCCTGGAACTCTACTATGTGAATAGTGAGGTGGATCCTGGTAACATAATGCAACGTACTCCAGGTCTTATGCTTACTCAACTTCCAAATGAAGATGAAGCAAACTCAGCAGTTTGGGATCTAAATAGAAGGGTGCACCTGGGTCATAAAGGGCAGTAAGGGCTTTCTTGATTCTCACTTACGGTATGTTTGGTGCAACTAGCTGAAAATGTACTTTATGAATTTTTCAGTAACTGTTAGCTTTTAATGACTAAAAAGATCTTAAAAGGAAAATGTAGTAGTTGTTTGGTAAAAAGCTGACTGTTTGATTTAGATCTGTTTGATATACAAGCTGTTGGGGACTAATTAATACTAAAAGTCACATACTTTTCTCATATGCCACTCCTCGTAGCATCTCAAAAAAGATCTTTTATTTTTTGAAAAGCTCTCTTAAAATTGTTATACCAAACATATAACTAGAAACTTTTAGAGACTTTTTAAACAGTACAAAAGCTATAAGGCGGAACTTATGCCCGCCAAACATGCACTTAGGCTTTGCTGATGACTTATTGGTCTCTTTAAATGGTGAAGCTACATCGTTAATCAGGTTCAATTTTTTTTATTGAGGATTACCAACTAGCTTTAGGCCAGACAATCAACAAGCAAAATATGTCCTTTATTTGTGGCAAGGGAGCTTTGCCAAATAGTAAGGTCATTTAGAACATGCTAGGTATGTCCATGTCAAGTCTTTCAATGAAATAATTTGGAGTTAACCTGCATAAAGGCATAACAAGCATCAATATTGTGGGCATCTTATTAATGAATTTGAAGACAAATTAACACCTTAGAGACCAAAGAAATTAACTCAAGGGGTGGGCTGATACTTATTAAGCATGTCCTCAAGTCCTCAACTCAATACCTTTGCAACTTTAGCATTCGACAATCTACCCAAAAAACATTTCATTAGAATAATGGAAAGTAAGATGGAAACTTTCTTTTGGGGATCATCAGACCATAAAAAGAAATATAATTGGCTCAAATAATGGGCTTATTCATGTGTTCCTACTGATGAAGGAGAATTAAGAATCAGATCTCTAACTGAAGTGAATAAGACTTTTACTTGAAAGCTATGGTGGAAGTGGAAAAGAGGTATTTCTTTGTGGAATTCATTTTTTAGTGCAAGATATATTAGGGGTGACAATTTGATTCTTAGAATTACATGTTCAGCAATATGGAGAAGAATTTGTACTATTAATTCTATAGCATTGAATCTTTGTTCTGCTAGTTCCACTGCAGACTTCTTATGGTCTTCAGAAGTAAGAAGATGAGAAGTTCTCATTTCAGTCCGTCTATAACTTTGTCAGTTCGTCATATTTGACATCCAAAGCAACAATTGAAAGTTAAATTGTTTCAGTGGAAACTATAAAGGAATCCTACCAATTACCAACAATCTCAACCGATTCCATATGGTGCTAAATCATTCTGTTTGCCCAATGTGTAGATATCATGAGAATTCGGTGGATCAACTTTTTCCCATGCAACTCCCCCCAACCTATTTGGATCTTGATGGACCGCTAACCTAGGGGTAGCTAGAGGTACTAATCGTAACAGGAATGAGTGTACTAATCTAATAGTGTGGTGACATGTGTAAAGGTGATTGAAGAGAAGTCTTGGACAACTGGTTGATTGATACTATATGTAACTGAATTTGTCCTATAAGTACCAGAACGTACGTGTGTGCCATACGTGTGCCACCCATCTGGAATATTCCTTGTGGTAATTAACCGCCTTGGTGACATGTCCCTTGTATAGTGTTGGTGACGTTGCCATAGTTCTGTGTGGTATTTGATTGCTGAAATGCCCAAGTCCACAACTTGTTACTGAGGCCCCGGGCTCGTTATGCAAGGTCAGAGCTCGGGTAAGGTAAGCATATTCTGGAGGGTTTGATCCTGGTCTTCAGTTCATCCGGTAGCGATTATTCCTTCGTCTCGTTGACTTTGGTTGACTTCGCGTCCGTGTCTGAGGTTATATCTGGTACCGAACTTGGCGTGGTAGAGCTCGGCCTCAGATTTGGCCTTATCTTGGTGATCTGGGAGTCGAATGTTCGGACCGACCTCAGGTGGGTCGAGGTCGGCCTCGGAAAGATATTTGCCTTAGTGTTCTGGAGGCTTTCTTTGTTTGTGATTGTTGATACCCATGAGATATATGAAAATATACTCCATAAGTTTTTTTTTATGGTGAATTTTGGCTTGAAATTACCTCATATTTAGTTCATCCCGACAAGTTTTGTTTAGATGGTGGATTAAAGTAGGGAGTAAAAAGCTTGAGGACACCTTTAAACACGATCTTCCAGGCATATATTCTTAGGTATATAACACTTTAATCATGAAACCTGTAAACTTTGAATGTACATGTACATCTCCTAGATTGAATGATTTGGGCCAACCTTTCCAAACTCTAAGTTTGGAGTATATATTATTGGGAAAATTGTCAAATAGGTCCTCGAACTTTCATAAAAAAGTCAATGAAGTCCCTTTTTAAGATGCTCTGTCTGGCCGTCGCGATTTGGGGCGGTTGTAACACCCCCAGCCCCGCAAGACCCGAGGTAGTTACTCCAGACCTCTAGTACTATCCCCACAAACCACCACGAGCCTTTACCACGTACTTTGTCCTCACTCGTGCGCGCCCTGAGAAACTTCACAGGGGGTCACCCATCCTAAGACTACTCCAAGCCAAACACGCTTAACTTTGGAGTTCTTAGCAGATGAGCTCCCTTAAAAGGAGATGCATCTCTCTTTGTATGAGTAGTACTATTAATCCTCTTAAATTAATCTCGGGTATTATAGCGGTTCCCGGTGGAATTTTTTGATGAAAATTTTTGAGCATCTTATTCATCAGGTCTAGTTTAGTCATATCAAATTTGAGCTAAAACTTCAATCGGGAACGCATTCAAATTAATTTTTGAAGATAATTGTGCTGTTAAATGAGCAATTATCTTTAAGAATTAATTTGAATGCGTTTCCGATTGAAGTTTTAGCTCAAATTTGATATGGGTAAATTAGACTTGATGAATAAGATTCTCAAAAAAAATCATCAAAAAATTCCACCGGAAACCGCCCCAAATCGTGACGGCCGGACAGAGCA